GTATTATTTCCTGATGGATTGGGGTACATAATTAGCCGATTTGTGGCTGTATGCTTGTTATATTATGCTTATAGGGACGTGATGCATAAGCATTTATTGTTGCAAAAAGCAAATACATTTCTGCAACCAGTCGTCTCTTTTCCACCTGTGTAGTCTTGACTTGTGGTGATAAGATCGTGATTTGCCTGGTGTATGAAAATACTTGTATTACTTTCCCTGTAAAACTTAGTTTCCATCAATGGTGGTCAAGAATAATCAAAGAATCCAGTTCATTGGGTGGTTGCCATAGGTCAGGCTAGGTTGATTACTCTTTGCGAGTCATCAAAGTGGTGAGGTGCTGGGAACAAATTTGGTGTTTTTGCTGCAATCCCAGATACGGTTTGCTGGTGCTGATAGCTTTAGATAAGGGACATTCATAGGCTGGTTGTACGGTGAGTGTGTGGCGGGCTGGTGGGTGACGCTCGCTTTGTCCTTGAATGGACGATCGGTCAGCAGCGTGGGTTCCCGCGTGGCACAGCGAGTCAGCATGGCGGTTGCCACTACACCACCAGCACCACTAACACCTTCCACTGATGTTCTGTGGGCCCATCCATGCAAGTGTTGCCACATCATCCTTCACTGATCACTACTTAAACGGGTGTAGGGGCTAGGGGATGTACTCCGGGGATGACTACGGGATGTAACTCCGTCCCTGGGCATAGCATAGGGTACACTAACGAGCGCATGCGCGGCGCACATACGACGCTTCACTGGGTGAATATGTTTCCTTCACTATCAATACTCGAATGATCGTCGAGCGCAATAAAATCAAATCCACGTTCAGGAATCATCGTCAAATACTGAAGTCAGAGGCCAGACCACGGGAAAAAATATTAGTTTTATCTTACGTTTAGGAACAAGCCGACGGAGTCACGAGTGCCCACACCAGAGGTAGAAAGGTCGAGGATCGCTCGGGGTTTTCTGCACTATTATCGAAATCCTGGTCATTATTTTCGGTCACTAACTCATCAAAGCCGTAGAATTCGTCTTCATTTCCATTCATCCCGTGTCAGGAATATCAGACAGGAAGAGGAGAGTCCCTATGTTAGGGGAGCGGAGGGACGTGAGAGCTGACTTGCGACGGAGTACACTGGTGAACAGGGTGACTGAGCCGGCGTTCCACAATGCTATGCAGGCGCCTGATATTTTGTTATGCGCACTACCACGCGAAGGACCATTCTCTCATATGTAGGCCTATGAGCGCTTTCGCGCTAAATTTGGCGGCGCTAGAATTTTGGCGTAGATCTACGGTTGGACTCTCAACGACCAGCTGTAGATCTACGGGTCGGACCATGAAAGGGTTAAGGACCCTCCTTTCTTTTACCCTTCCTGCCCTTTTGTTATTCCCACTAAACCTATCTACTGTCCTTGTAACTAGTGCACTGGCTTTTCCAATATCCACCTCATTTTGCCTATTACTAGTTTCCTAGTACAGTGGGACCACCGGCTTACAATTACTATTTCATTCCAGAAAGTATGTTCAGGTTCCATTACCTGAACCGAATTTTGTTACCATAAGGAACTATGTGAATTAGATTAGTCCAATTTCAGACCCCCAAAGATACACGTACAAACATCCGTACCATAAATACACTTACATAATTGGTCGGGCATTGGGGAGCCTGTTTGTAAAGCGGGGGTCCACTGTATCATATTACTACACTGGGACGTCACTGTTTTACCGCCAAAACCCATACCACTAACTTATTCTAGTATAAAGTTCTACAGCTCCCTCCACTGCTAGTAGCCCGTGCCCCACCCAGATCTAGATAAGTGAACATCCCTGGCATAATGTCAGTTCTGCCATAGAAGAGGTCACAGTTGTCAATGAATGTTACGCATTTTTCCTTACAGGTATTTGTCCAGCCAGCAATGACACCAGTTGCCCTGGACAACAATTCATTCCAACTCCTCTCCTTGGCAAAACAAACATATGGGAAAGGGTTCCCCACCTTCTCACTAAATATCTCTATTGCTGACCTATACCTGCTAATCAGGTTCCTCACTCCTAGTCGGCCAACATCGTTGCCTCCTGCACTGAGACAGATAATAGGATTTGCTTCCCATCACTTCAGGATCATTCTTCCAGACGGCTCACATTATCCTCAATCCCGCTCCAGGAAAGCAAACCTCGGTTCTCCTACTCTGTCTTCAACGGCAGAATGCATATCCCATTTGTAACCTTAACATGGTTATCCCCAACATACAATATTCTACCTTCCTTGGTGTCGTTAGTAGTAATGTTCCTCGCCAGTGTTGACTCACATTCATCGGGTAGCACGGGAATGCATTAGATGTTTCCACAACAGTTTCCACAGCAGTCTCTTTCTTCTTCATCGTTTCTACCTTTCCATTCGTCTTCTTGATCGTCAACTTTGTTCCATGCTGTCCAGCCACTGTCCAGGTTCCCTTCTTGACCTGAGGACTCAAAACAGGAAGACTACTACGAATCCTCTTGATTTCCTCAGTCAATCGCCTTATCTCCATCTTCACTACCCTCAATTCTTCCTTAAGCTGCTGGTAAAGTTGCTCGATGGAGGGCATCTTGGTTCAGTCCAAGGAGAGTACACTAACGTCCTCACTGAGCTAAGTACACATCACCACTGATGCCACCAAGATGCCCTTGTGTTGCAGTGTCTGACAGAGTACTCAACTGAAGAAGCCTACTGTGTAGGCGAAACGTTTTGGAAAAAAGTTGCCTAACTGTTGCCCATGTGTCTTACCTACCAACCTGTCAGTATTGTATATCATTATAATATTCACTCTGTCAGACACTGCAACACAAAGGCATCTTGGGTACAGCAGAGAAAACACCTTGGACAACTTTTTCAAGTGAGAAGTGTTGGATCTGAGAGGGATGTGACCCCTCAGTGACTTCATTCTCTCTACTACCACCCTGCGCGTCTCCTTCTGACAGTATATACTAAGTCTCCACACTGTCTCTTGCTCCTTCAGATTGTTTCAGACTATGGAACAGAACTCTTCTCCAGGCTGAGGGACTGAGGACATCTTACTAGCTTCTACTTACAGTAAATAGACACTTATAGTAGTTTCCTTACTGACTGTCATCCAAGTTTCAGTTACGTATTTCCAGTTAAGGTCGGGACATTTTGAAAAAAAAAAATCATATTGCTTGTATGTTTATTTTATGGTTTACAGGAAGGCATATTTGTTGGAGAGAGAATGGTCAAAAACTATATTTATTTTATTTATTATCACACTGGCCGATTCCCACCAAGGCAGGGTGGCCCGAAAAAGAAAAACTTTCACCATCATTCACTCCATCACTGTCTTGCCAGAAGGGTGCTTTACACTACAGTTTTTAAACTGCAACATTAACATCCCTATATATATACGTATTTTAAAAGATACGATTTTGTTAAAGCTGGATTAAAAATATATATATTTTTAAAATAGATTCACCAGCTGCATTAATTTTGTTTGCCTGGTCATTTTATATATGTGTGGAGAGTAGATGTTTGGAGAGTAGATGTTTGGAGAGTAGATGTGTGGAGAGTACATGTGTGGAGAGTAGATGTGTGGAGAGTAGATGTTTGCTTGGGAGAGAGCAATAAAGAACTAGATTTTATAATTACAATTTTTTAATCATGACCTATAAAATTTTTATCTCCTCTTCTTTTTTCACCATTCTTGATTGATGTTTTGTCTATGTAAATGTTGTGCATGTATAATTATCTCATATTTGTTTGGTGAAGATTAATCAAGAACTGGAGATTTAATTATTACATTTGTTGATCAGCAGCTGGCCACATTCAGTACGTGATCGGTTGACACGTGGCGTCTCAGATCACCTTCCTCTTTCTCCTCCTCCTCCTCCTTTTCTTCTTCTTCATCCTCCTCACCTCCATTACCACCTCCTCCACCTCTGCTGCCACTGCCATCACTGCCTTTACCCAACACACCGGAACTCTTACCACCATGTTTCCACACCATCTGCCCAAACACCTAATAAGTACCTTAGCTATAACATTATGTGGAGAGCATGTGTGAAATATATGGTGTCAGATACAATGGAAGAAAGGGAGGCAGTCATCCTCCTCTGCATTGCAAGATCATCAGGAGGGGAGACAATACTGTTGCTATGGCTTGTGTATTGTTCTGTCAGAAGTAAAGTGGGAGTGGGAGAGAGAGGGAGAGGGTTCTATTGCTACTGCCCATGTAATTTTGTCAGATACCATGGGAGAGAGAGTGGGAGGAAGGGAATGTGAGAGAGGGAGGCAGGGACTATGAGAGTAATAAGAGAATAACATAGAGGGAATGGGAAGAAGAGGAGAAAAAGGGAGGAAAAAGAAGAGAGGACTTGTCTATGTGTTATAAATTATTTTTAAATTTCATTCTTAAACATTAAATAAAATTACAGTAGATGTGAAATAATAATTTTTTTTTTTTTAACAAGTCGGCCGTCTGCCACTGAGGCAGGGTGACCCAAAAAGAAACTTCCCAAAAAGAAAATACTTTCATCATCATTCAACACTTTCACCTCACTCACACATAGTCATAATATATCTGGGGAAAATATCTGATTATAATGTGGGCATCTGTGGGGAAAATGGGTTCGGAGTTCTGAAAACTACATTAACGAACAATTTTCAGGAATGCATTATAATCATAATCTTTATTTCAGCGTGATACAACTTTGTACAGAGATGGGTGACATTTAGGTGTGCATGCAGAAATCCCCTTGGTATGCAGAGCATTTAGGACAAATTTAAGTCTATCTTATGACTAAAAAGGCAGTAACTAATTGATTTATTTTATATACATTTAGGTTCATAAGTGGGGACCTACTGGAGGCATAATGTTTGGAAAACTTCAGTACTACTCTTGAACAAGATGGTTTTCATAAAATTGTTTGGCTTGGAAGTCACTGAATTATTTTTTGTACACGTTGTCATTAAATTTGATAGATTTTTGGGCTTTAATTGTGAACATCATTTCAGGGGCTCATGCATTGAAGGATTTGCTGATGATTATGCTTGGATCATTCGTGGCTTCATCAACCTGTACGAGGCTACACTAGACACTGAGTGGTTGAAGTTGGCCGAGAAACTTCAAGATAAGCAAAATGATTTATTTTGGGACTCGGAGGGAAATGGTTATTATATGACTCAGTCTGGTGATGAATCAATTTTACTTAGAATTAAAGAAGGTAAGGAAAGATAATGTAAAGGCTTGACAAGGCTCCTGAAGAGCAAAACGTTGGCACAAAAATGTCACATTAGGTGCACATGTGTCCTTTTACCTAACCTAGGGCCCATTGACTCAAAACAGTCACAAGTTTCCTCTCTTTATTGAACTGGAATGAAGCAAAGTTTTTTTTTATAACATGCTGGCCATCTCCCACTGAGGCAGGGTGACTCAAAAATGAAACTTTCACCATCATTCACACTATCACTGTCTTGCCAGAGGTGTACAGATGTGACAAAAGTGAAGTGTTTATTTCTAGTAATTGATCTTGATTTGTTGATTCCAAAATCAGGATTGTCTCTTA